TGGAGGATGTTATTATTTTATTTTATATTGATGTGACTCATGTTTTTATTCATTTTCTAAAGACACATTATACTGGTCGGTACGTTTGCTCATCTTACTTGATAATTGTAATTTTTTTATTTATTGTACTAATTTAATTGTTTTTTTGTTTAGAAACAGATAAAGTTTAAAACCAAGTTGTCTTTTACTAACTATAGCTGTACCATTGATTCTGTGCTCGTCAGTATTGCGTTTACTGTTTTAGAATTACATCTGTAGGACAAATTAAATCCTACAATTATTTCCTTTAGAAAAGTTTAAAATCGTTTTTTCACTAAAAGGAAACATGATGGTATTAGAATACTAGTTAATGTGTAGCAGTAACTAGCTTTGTCAAATGTCGTTGTCTGTATAAGTTCATTCAAACACCTATTAGCAAAATAAATACTATAACTCAATCAATCTTTGAGGTTGATAAAACTTCAAACAACAACCTCCACCAGCCTCAGTAGTACGACGCGAAGCATTGCGTGAGATTCTACATTGTTTCTTAGTCCCAGGAATGTTAATAAAACCTCTAAGTCTTGTCTGCTAGACGTCCTTGAAAACTGTAGTGGGTGTACAAACATGTTGAACCGAAAGGACTTATTCTGGCTTTCGGACGAACTTCTGGTACTCATAAGTGATGTTCAGTTAAAACGATTAGTAATTGGACTAAATGAGTACATGCAAACACTGGCTCCAATGTGAACTCGAATATAATAAGTCGCTCTCCCTCGAATGTTATTTACCTGTCCATAGGTACTCACATTAGTAGATTTGGTACTCAACAGCCTTAGGAGGATCGGTTCACTTGATCCCTCGTCAAGAAAAGACCTTCAAGGTTGACTGACACAGTCAGCACTTATTGTCTCATACCAGCACGTGTCAATGACAGTGCCCTACTCGATAAATCAAGATTCATTGCTGGACTTGTCCAACTCACTGGCGGGATCCTAATTTCTCCTTCGGATCCCACGCTAGATATATCGGAGACCTCACTCTCACGTCCCAGTCAACAGCGCGAGTCATCTGCACCATCTACGGGTTAGACTCCGTTCTCACATTCAGATCAGCTGACCACGCCGCCCTTGACTTCGTGTGGGATTGCAGGCTCACGAGGTACGAACGATACTACCGTGGTACGTTCCGGTGGCTGCGTACGCCTACCTGTACACTTTCGTGACAAACAACCCAATCAACAACGGATACGACAGAGGACCTTATCCTCGTACTACATGCATGCTACACATTTCTCTTTTTCTTCGCCTTTTTATCCTGAGCCCACGCCTCCGATCATCGTCCTGTTGGTACTGTCGACATCAGATCCAGGATACAAACCACTCTGGTGTGGCACGCCAACTCGAGCAGCAAACATGGCACGTTACTGCCGGTACCGTTCTCCGTAAAAGACCTTCGGTGACAACCCGAGAATCATGGACCGCTTCCTGTAGGTCAACCCTACCGTCCTACAATCGCACGATTTCCAGATCAGTCCCACGAACGAAGCGGCTACGTATCAAAAGTGTAAACAATTTCTAGGGAGGGCTGATGAAGTGGAACACTTATACTACGGAAACGCAATTAATGAAAAGGAAACATTTATTATCGTACCCCTCTTGTTCAACTGTATTAGAAAGTATTTACTTACGCGCAACTTTCTGCTCCCTATTTCGCCCAATTTCTCCTTCAAATATATTCTTTATCATGGATTTATTTCTGATTTCGGAGACCGGATAGTAATTTGTATTTAGTGGTGATCATAGTCAATCTCGACTCAGTCAGCACTAAAAACTACAAATAACCTAACCGATATAATTATCCTTTCGTTAGCGGTCTACAGATTGTGGAAAGACGAATGGTTAGTTTTGTAGGTTCCGCATGTCAGTTATCGGTATATCAACCGCGAATAAGTTTCTTGACAACTCGCAATAGTCTTTATCAGACAGTGAAAACAGAAGCAAATATTTTGAATATATTTTATTATTGGCTTTTGGACGAATGAGTAAAGTAAACCAAACGAAATGGATAAACTGTTTGCAGTCATACCAACGTTTTCGAACACAAAACCAGAATTAAATGCAGCACTACTTAAAGAAAACATATGAATTGCGTTTCCAAACCTCAGTTCTTGGAATGCTCATAGTGTTAACATTAACAGTTCATGATCGAAAATGCCCCTTGAAACGAATACACAAACTTTTCTGGATGCGATATACTTTTCGTGAGTCTAGACGACAACAATTACTTTATATATTCTTGCATTCAGTGCTAGTTCTCATGAGACAACCGAAGTACTATTTAGAAATTAACAGGTACAACTATTTCGTATTAGCAATACAAATCCCCTTGACTATTACAATACTCTAACCTACATAAAGCGTAGTAGCCTTTTTGAAAATATTCCGGTCAGTAATAAAAATGGGGAAGAAGAACATTAAAAATAGAGACTGCTTAAATGAAAAAGATGTTCGATGAATATGCTATAATAGGAAGTAACTGCTACAAAGTTTTATACATGAAATATATTTCCATCATAGCGCGCATTAGGACCGAGAAGTAATATATTCATCTGGTTTTGACTCATAAACTTCTGCTCTCTTTGAGCGACAAAAGTACCACCTTTAATGCAATAAACCCATCCTGAGCTTGAAGCTCGATAGCGCTGTGCCTGGAGATAAAAGTTCTGTCAGATAGATTTGTGAAACAATTGCTCTTTTTTGTAGTGAGTAACTTGGCCACTTAAAACTAGTTCACCTGATTCTTGTAAAGGCTCCATTGTTCTACTGGGCAATTTTCTAAGGTATCGTCTTGAAAAAATTAAATTCACTCAGCATAATCCCGCTCATAACGATGGATGCGCGAAATTGCGATACTGTCTGAGAAAGCGCCCAGTCTGCATATTGCGCTACATTGTTGCGATACTTTCATCTTTCTGTGTAGTAAGTACACACATTAGTTTTACGATCCAGATTTCGTTTTAAAAAGGTTACTTTATTTCTGGCTATCTGCTTAATCTTTTTTTCAACTGTCAATTAATAGCATCTTCATGTATTATTCAAAAATTGACGCAAACGACTTACACCCTCAATGGAATTCCGCTCCCTAATGTCTCCTCATACCGCGATCTCGGTTTAATAACCACCAAGAGCCTCCACACTAGTTCAGACTATGTAGGAGGCGCATCCAAGATTAATACAACTCTTAACTTCATGCGAAGACAACTTGATTCTATCACCCCACAATTATTCTTTACGTTATTTAAGGTATACGTGCACCTGGAGGTTCACAATGCCGTCGCACCCTCTGTCCGTAAAAGAGACATAAACCTCTTGTATTGAGTGCAGAGATGAGCAACGGAATGTGTGATTAGGTTGAAGAACGAACATTACGAAGATAGATTCCAGCACTTGGGATTATTCTCCCTGAGTTACAGGAGGATCAGAGGTGATCTGATTACAGCGAACAACATATTAAGCACACCAAACCATCCCAACGGGTGCATCTTACCGATGCGTCACCACCACTCCCCTCGAGGCAATCCTCGAAAAATTGCGCATCAAATAGCAAATATTACCTACCTACTACTTCAAAAAACACCCCTTCACGGTGTGGGCAGTAGGTAAGTAACATTTGCCCTTATACCCCTAAGAGCACATGAGACTGAATTGGTCACAATCAAATCCTCCCTACACCCCCTAATATCTCTTATCTGCAAGTCTCACCCTTCTCACATCTCCTTAACACCGTGCACGATTCGAGTTCGTGAGACGTTATTTCTGGTTTCCTGAAACCTCGTTCTAAACTACATGTTGGAGCTTTTAATGTCCGGGAATTGTGTCAAATAGAGCAACAGGCTTCATTAGCTACCGCTGTGTTGTGGCGATCGAGTCGCGATCGACTATGATCACCACTACAGCAATTACGAAACTGTCACAGAGAAGAAGGGTCATTCCATAGTAAAGAACAATTTTTTTGGCGATTTTTTCGTACTGAAAAAATACCGAAATCGTGCTTGGAAAGAGGGCGAAATTACAGAGAGGGTGGTTCGAAAATGGCAGCAACAGAAACGGAAGTTTGCGCATAAAAGTGTTAGAGTTAAACAGTCAGTGATATAATTAGTTATAATGATGAATGCTCCTATTAAATCAATCGCATTCTCCTCATAAAAGTGGATTTACAATATCAGCCCTCCGCCAGAAAGTGTTTACACTTTTGATACGTAGCGGCTTCGTTCGTGGGACTGATCTGGAAATCGTGCGATTGTAGGACGGTAGGGTTGACCGACAGGAAGCGATCCATGATGCTCGGGTTGTCACCGAAGGTCTTTTACGGAGAACGGTACCGGCAGTAACGTGCCATGTTTGCTGCTCGAGTTGGCGTGCCACACCAGAGTGGTTTGTATCCAGAATCTAAAGATTGCGTTTGTGAGCGTTCAGATCAGAAAACGCTGCAGACGTAGAACGGAACCAGATTGAGCGATAGAGCCAGAAACGACCATAACGACCAAGTTCGAGACCATAGGTATGCCAGACGTATTCGGAACCAAAACATCGACTGAGTGCATTGACAAGAGCGTGGGTTCTACGTTGTAACTGACTGACTGTACATGCCAACTGACTAGAATAAGTGCAGTCGATTGGCTAAACTATCATCCATTGGTCATTGCCAAACACCTTAAACTGAGCCGAAACAACAAGGAGCGAGAGCAAATAAATCATTTGGTTTATACTAGCTGGTGAAGAAGATATTGGATTATGTACATTATGATCTACAGGTTTTTTGTTATAAAGCACGGTTATCTTTAGTTTAGTCTGTTTACGAGTTATGCATTAAGTTTAAAGTGATTCATACTCATCTACCGAATCGAATTCATATTCTTTGTTCTAATGTCTATTAACTTTAAAATTCCACTCAACTGAATCTTATTGGAAAATAAACAACTAAAGATTTCATTTCTATTTAAATTTAGCTTTTTCAATATGGATACATCAATGGAAGATTTGTTTTCGGATTTCGATAAGTCTACTGTTTTTGTTGAAACAGGTAAATGAACTACAGTGAGAATTCCAACAAGTCGTTGTTGATTTTGAATTGTTCTGTAAAAATTATTCTTTTTCTGATTATGATGACATCAAATGATAAAATAAAAAAGGTAAACACCTTAAACTGTATTAAATTTCATAATATCAAAGTATATACCTAATTAAACACATACATAGCTTTTTAAGTCAGTAGTAACACCATGTGAATTATTAATTCTTGTTTTATTTTTGTGTAATATAATGTAAAATATCCAAATGTAAATATCACTCAATATACTTGAACTCAAATATATTTAATGAAGGTCAAGTTTGTTGACAGAGTCTGAATATAGCTTTGTTTGTCAGCAGCTTAAGATCATGTATATGGTAATAATATTCACTATAGGGTTGTGGAGCTTGTTGAGCTTCATCGAAAACATGATTCGACCAATGTTAGACCACTATTAGAACCTGGAAGTACGGGACTGTCGTTTCTTCCTAGTGTGCGGTTCATCAGCAGAATGTGCTCACAACCCCTGCTCGCGGAAATCAAACTCAGGACCTTTGGTCTCGCATGAACGCTTAACTTCTAAACCTTTGAGCGTGCATGCAATGGTGTTAATGTCTAACTTTAACCAGTCCAAGGTAGGACCAAATGGCCGTCTAGTACTTCCAGGTTTCTGATGCTAGGCACTGCTTCACATCCGGCGTACTAAGATATTTTAAAATTATAAAACTGCAATATCTGCGATTTTTACACAGCACTCAATACGAATCGTTACCTGCTTGATTATTTAGTTATGATAATTAACTGATTGTAAAACGCTTACTAATGGCAGTGCGAGATATATTGCCACTTAGTATTATCTCTCAATCTAAATTTCCAATTTGATTAACTAGCTGTGTACAAAAACAAAATACACGTTAGTTAGATCCTCATTAAGTGCCGTATATTTTCATACGAAGGTCATGGTGCTACTAACAAGGATGTATGTATTTAATCCCACTGTTTCCAATCGAGAGCTTTTAAGTATTCCTCATAAAAACCCTCAAAATTGGAAAACTAACTGAAACTACGTTATATAATCAGTGCTCAACAGAAATCTCCCAAAAGATCTTTGGGATAACCACAGACTTTTTAGTATATCGATTAGCTAATCACCTATCCTATTACTAAATATAGAATATTTTCAGAAGCTTCCACAGACCCATAAATACCACCATTTTCTGTGTATGAACTAACCTTAAAAGTAATACTTCTCATACTTTCACTTCTCTAATTCTTGGAGCTCACGTTTTAAAGAATTCAGAGTGACTAGTAAACGATTAGGAATTTAATACAAGACTTTGAAGTCCCGAACCTATCATTTTAGCTCTTACTGATGATTTACTCTCGATTCGTAAGTTGTAAATAAGTGTTACCTTGTTATTAATATTATCCTAGTATTATATATAATATTGTAATATGTTCATTGCTCTGAACCAATCATGTCAGACAAGTACGTCACACCATTTTCTAATCGTTCAGTCATAATCAGTATAGGACCTGAGTAAAATGTTGATCATTCCAAGTTTTCATATCACGCTAACTCAGCAGGACAAAATTAATAAGGTGAGCATACTAAATTGGACGAAACAGACATTAAAATGATTTTTTTCAAAAATAAGGGACGAAATACGGAAATATAAAGCATGGATGGTAACGAATTAAAATACACTGATATCAGTGCAACCGATTTTCAATGGTCAAAATCGTCTTGCGAACCGCAGCCGGATGGTCTCCACTCATCGATGCAGATAAAAACTCCAAGATAAATGGTCAATTCGCTAGACTACTTCACTCCCTATAAACATTTCCCTAGTTATACGATACTTATTATTGTTAAGTGATTGTTAACTAATCAAATCCATTCCCCAGGTAATTGAGTATAAGATATACTCTAAGTGTAGGCACTACTGTTACTGCTTGATTACCCAAGCCAAAGCAGGTGAAACGAAGTTCGAACCTGAAGCTTATCGGCCAAAAGTCGGGATCCTTTACCACTCAACCACCGCTCCACGTTAAATGACTAGTTCACTAATTGATTTCGTGGTGAACTATCATATCAGGAATTCTTTTTGGGTTATGTAAATAATTAACTCAGTGAACAATTCTTTTAGTCTTTCCGTTTTTCATTTATTTTTTCTCAGATGATATAGTTGTATGCTTCTTATGAATTCTTTTAGCAGGTGTAAAGAAAAATAACACTGAACAACGTGACTTGATCGCACTGACTACTGAAACAATAGGCAATGAAGTCATACAAATTGAAGGTGTTTATCAAGCTTCTACCCGAAGTCTATGCGTAACGATTGAACTACATCAAAACTCTTTGTGAGTCTATTTTTATTGTGTTCTTTTCACTTTCATATATATATATATATATATTGTTCAGATTGATAAACTTGTCAAAATTAAGCTCGAATGTATTTTCTTTTACTTAACAATCCAGTGGTCTGCTGCATAAATACTAAAACACAACCAGTAATTAAATTTCTTGTTAATAATCGATCTCTATTCATAATTGTCTGCATTTGTCTTATTATACTAACGTATCAACTAGGGTCTCCTAACAAATAAAATAAAATTATTAGATAGGGTTAAACGTTGACTGATATATTGATTGATAAAAGTTAGACATTAACATAGTATTGTAGTGGCATCTACCAACAACTAATTGTCAGTAGGTTTTTTATTCCACTGTTTAGTATATTCCCTGACCACGATACTTTACTTAACTCCTCTCAAATCAGTACAATAATCGGTAGCAAAGAAATCTATGTTTCCATAACCTAAATAAAAATATTCTGTGAATAATATTTTATTTTATCTAAAATTTTATTTTAGGTTGTCTGGTTGCATAAATTTAGAAATTCCATACCAATATCCCTCACCAAATGCAAATCTCTCAGGAACGAAGAATGTACCAATTAAAATTTGTACGCTTTGTGATAATAGTCGCTTTACGAATATAATTACCTACCCACAACATCAAAATTCTACCGTATTTGCTGATTTGTCCTCTACATCGTCATCATTCTCATCAATATTTGTCTGTTCAAAACGTTTTATTAATATTCTTTGTGATAATACTGAAAATGATGATCCTGATCTAGTTCGATTATGTGGCCTTCCAAATGGACTAGTCTATGCTATTTGGTATTCAACCGTGAATAAACAACTTCATTACTCTGTTGTATTTCCATTGTCTTGTTGTAAACCCATAGTGGCTTGGGCTTTTATTCGTAATCCTGTAGCTCATTCTACAACGTCTTATACAATTGGCAGTACATTTAAAAATAATCCTTGTATTCAAACTGAAAATAATACTGTGAATGATCTACTTGTTGGTTTGACAAAAGATGGTGAAGGTGTAGGTGTTTGGTTTGATTCATTAGATGTTTGTAGTAAAACGTAAGTTTTTGCTAATTTCTTAATTCTCTACTCGATATTAGCTGATGCAAGTAGTAGGTTGTAAGAAAACTAGATGCTCAGCTAAACCAAAATCTAGCACAAATCATTGAGGTCATTAAATATCTATCTGAGTCACGTTATCGGATTCAGGCTATCTGGTTGGGTTCTACGTGTTTATTATGGTTACTGGTTGGATACATTTAGTGACATGTTTCAGAATTGATCACAGTGGCACAGATACATTCACTCAGTTTACTCTTGGATCCTTAATTTCAAAGTCACTTCATGCCTTTGTTCCAGAAATCCATAATCTTATCTTTACGCCTAGTCTTTTATTAACTGTCATTTACACTACTACTACTTCGACATTCATCGTGACAATTTCATTTTATTGTACTGATATAGTGTAGCACCTGGAACCGACACACAGTTTTTCTGAAACTCTACGTTGCTATATGATTAAAGAATGAGTGATTGTTATCATTGACATCTTTCTATTTTTTAACAATATTAATTAAAGATAAATAGTTACCTTAATATGTATTCTCAATTCAATTATTTTATATTTATTTCGCTTGTTAATGTTTACTACTGGGCAGTTTGAACTGTACATTCTATTTACAAGCATCAACTTCATTATGAAAAGAATCATATTATTTTTCAAAAATAACTTTACTAGAGTTTGTATTCAATCCTGGACTCGAACCAAGTACCAATACCGCATTACCAAGTTCAAATAGCTACTAACTTGTATTATGACAATTAATCCTTCGAAATTAACCACTAGAATAGCACATGATATTTATTCATGCTATAAGAAATTTTATTAGTATACACTAATTATTTTGCTTGAAATATATTATAGGGTCCTAAATATTACTGAATTTAGCTTACCTCAGTCACCTGATCCAATTACAAAATGTCGTGCACAAGGTTCATGGCTTCATGTGATCACTCAAAGTGGATATTTAATGTCGATACATTTTAGTTTACAATTGAAACAATCGATTGATAAAATTAATGTTAATAATAATAATAATCATAATAAATCAACTAAATGGAATTTATTATGTCAACCAACTAATTTCCCTCGATTACCTATTCATTTATCACCTGTGAACAATATTGAACAATGGATAAAATCATGCCCAAAATGGCGTAATCTTAATGTTTGTGATTTTACACGTTTAGCTGGTTAGTTGAATTTTTTTTAATTATTTCTTGTTTCATATTGTTTGAAATGTACTTTCTAAATTAGTTTTTTTTTGTGTTATCTTTTCTTTTGATGTGCATGAGTGTGTGAACATGTGTAAATAGTTCAAATTAAAAATTGCTTTTGTTCATGATTCAGTTAATCCCATGTAATGTAATCACGCCATTGAAACTGATTCTGATTCATAGAACTTAATGTCCTCATCCACTTGTTTTAATAACCGCTTAAACCACAACCAGATAGTATGGATCTGTATACATCATTCAATCCAGTTGTAAATGACTTCATGAACTGATACTATGTTTGAGCTTGTTCGCACCCAACTTTCTTCCAACCTACGGCAGATAAAAACACTTATCGAGATAGACGATATTTAGAGCATATTTTATAAGTGTTCTAACCACCTCAGTCGATCGATATTTACTGCTCCATCAATTGACTTACCGTTATTACTTAGTTCACTATGCTTGATCTTAACATTGCTCACCCGTTGGTCGCAACATACACAGACAGTGCTCCAAAAACATCTATGATTAAATACTAACAACCTAGATATCTGTTCTGAATGATCATGTTTTACACACATAAAATGGAACAGAACAAACGGCTGCACAGTATACCCGTCTTTCAGTTAGTAGATTCATGCATCACAAGCAACGTAAGTTGTTAAGGGTCAGCGCGTTTCATAAGGTAACTTTTTCAAGTGTACACATATTCGTTTTGGGCATTTCTCTAAAATTTTCAAATTTTGTGTTTAGTTATATGCGCACAATATTCATTTTTGACCATCGATTTCTTTGAAGCGCCGCTCACATATGATAGAACCATGAAGTGAGTGATACCGAGGCCAGGTGTAGGGAACTAGGTAAAAATTGTAAATCTGCGTAATTTTCAGTGTAGTGGCTGAGCAAGCCTAATACATACATCCATACCAATACAGAATGCTAGCTAATGTAAAAGTAAATTGAAAAAAAATACTCGGCAACCAGACCAGGAAATCATTTCACTTCATAAATTCAATTACTCAAGGTCTAGGAAACCCAGACTGAAATAGGCGAATTCAACATCGGTTAGGATTAGGACGACCAACATCTTTAGCAATGCTGCCTTCTCACAAGAAAGAAGGGGTTATAAAAGGTCGAACCTAAAAATGTCACATCTCACCCTACCTCACGGATTTCCATGATCGGCCTCAAGAAGTTGTCCGATTGATTGATCTCTTCGATTGAGAATGAATAATAAGACCATCCTTTTCCGAGAAAGTCTCACTCACATTCGTATTCTTGATACCGGTTTATTTGATAAGGTGAAAAAGTTGTCTACTTTTGCCTATTGTCGCTGCCTTTTCCACCACAAAGGGCTTTTAAGAGAGGAGCTAATACTCAAAAAGCCTTTCATAAAAAGGCCGTGTGTGACCGGCCTCAAGCAATTGTCCCTTTGACTATGCGGCCACGCTCCTAGGTCGTTAGGACCTACGCTAACCTACCTTCCTTTTCAGATTCCTCAAGGAAGACCCTTTCACGGTGTGGGCAGCGTGAAGGTGACAACCGCCCTTATACCCGTAACAGCATGCGAGACCGAATTGGTCAAAATCAAATCCTTCCTACATCTAACATTTCTCTCATCTCCACGACTAACTCTTCTCGCATTCCTTTATCACACTGCACCGCTAATGCAAACGATGCAAATTCACGAAACATTTTTCCTGGTCTCTTGAAACCCGGTACTATATTACATATAGGAGCTTTTAATTTTCGAATCCTATGCCGAATAGGTCAACAGGCTTCATTAGCCAGAATTCTGGATTCCCGGGCGATCGATGTATGTTCCGTACTCGAAATGAGCATACAAGATTCCGAGTAAAACATCAATTTGATCTCATCTGGTGCAGATAAAGATACAACAAGATTTACGCTTCGTGTTACTGGAAGCCCTGAAGCTGCTTCCCGGGGTCTCACTGGTGTAGGTATAGCATTGAGTCGTAGGACAGAACTAGCTCTCTTATACTGGATCCCAGTAGATAGTCGCTCTCTGACTAGACGGGACAGTAAGGACTCGGAAAGATAGGGACACTCGCCGTTGCCTCTTCATCATATCTGCCTACGTTTCCACTGACTGCAGTTCAGATGAGGTGAAGGATGAGTTTTACAGAAAGCTTTCGGAACTCCTCCAAAAAGCTAGGCGCTCTGATAGTTCTAATGGCTGGTGACTTAAATGCTCAAGTAGGTAGACTAAGTGAAAAGGGAAGATACCTGGGTGGATGTTATGGTTTCGCAGCTCAGAGAACAGACAATGACGACCGTCTGTTGCAACTGTGCTCAGATAACCGCTTATTTCTAGCAAACACTAACTTTAGGCTTAAGGAAAAACATCTTTTGACCTGGCGACCCCCAAAGTCGTCCCAACTTTGGACCCAACTAGATCACATCGCCATCAGCCACTGGTGGAGAGGCTCTGTTGAAGACTGCCGCTCATTCTGAAGCACATGTTTAGACTCAGACCATTCTCTAGTGCGAGCGCGTATTTGTTTGCGCCTTACTGGTCGTAGGAAAGACACCGGAAGGAAACCTGTTAGGCTTCTACTTAATGTTAATAAAGCTAAGAATATATTTCAGGAACAATTAGAAAAACAGTTAGGCGTCCATGTTAGTGATTCGCATTTTGAGGCAGGTTGGAGTGATATCAAGAAGGCTGTGGAAACACCAGTGATATCTTCTAGTAAGGTAAACCATATGGCTAGGAAGAGGCCGTGGATTCCAGTAGCATCTACCGAACTGATGGATGCTCGAAAACGCATCCCACCTGGCTCTAAAAATGATAAAGAGCTAAGTCAGCTTAGGCGCAGGCTGATGAAAACCCTACGCAATGATCGCGAACAGTGGTGGGTGGCGAAAGCAAGAGAGATGGAAAAGGCGGCGGCGATAGGCAACAGTAGACAACTTTTTCACCTTATCAAAAAACCGGTATTAGGAATCCGAATGTGAGTGAGACTTTCTCGGAAGAGGATGGTCTTATTATTCATTATCAATCGAAGAGATTGGATCGATGGGCAGAACACTTCAGGTGTCAGTTCAACTGACCTTGCTCGTGTATCCTGGGACAACCGAGTAAGCAATGCTGTCGTTAGGAAACGAGTTCTAGGTAGAGATGGCAAATCAATAGATGAAGTAGTGAAACTTCATCAGTTTAGGTGGTTGGGACAAGTGTTACGTATGTCTAACCACCGACTGCCGCGACGAGCTATGTTTTGCGGTGTAGGAGTAGGTTGGAAACCAAAACATGACAGCAATCCATGAATTCACTGACAAATGGATTGAGTCGTGTTGATAGGTGTCATCTTTCTGGTTATTGCGCGCCATACATTAATAACCGACCTTGAACGACATAGCTTAAAATCGTTTGCAATGGTGCATATGCATTGACTCTTTGTGTTCTATGAAATTCGAACCTTCTGAATTGGTCATCACCTCTATCTTTCTCTTTCTAAATTTACCTCACTGAATAATAGTTCTTGAATAACATCTTCGAACCCTAATCTTCTCCATTACCAGTAGTACCTCTACTATCTCTACCACCATGGAATTTGAACTGGCAATGTTGTCTCTGTGCTAATTAGTTTGGATCCATGAACTTATATACGTAGGTATAAAGTTCTACGTTGTGACTGATTTACTGACCTATCTTAGCCATTGGATCACTGAGTGGAGGCACCAAATGGTTCACATTCCCCGCTGCAATCAATTCACGATGTAAAGCAGTTATTATCCACCGCGTTTGGTGACGACTGTTCGATTCCAGATCAGTCCTTTATGAATACCAGCAAGTAGGTAGATTCGACAAATACAACAGTTATATTCGGTCAGTTGTTCCAAGATTTCATATTTTTCTAGGTTCAAAATGGTTATAGTCTTGAATTCCACTACGTACTCCGCTCTAGAGATCCGAGTAGTAACACGTAAACCAGTTAGCATAAAACCTAGTTCTGAGGTTTCCTCCCGACCTCTTCCAACCGCATAACATAATGTCGAATCACCTAGACTATTAAACATATCAAAATTGAATCCAAAGTATTTTCAACCCGAATAACCCAGTGATAATCTCTGTGATTTTTGAAGCTCAGTAACGCGGGTTAAAGTCCCACATGAAGAATCAGAAGTTATTGCACTTTCGTTTTAATTCTCAGTTTTTTTTCTATCTGTCTCTCTCTTTATATATATATATACTAGACGGTCATTTGGGCAGTATTGATTCACAAGGTCGCAAAACACGTCTAGTTGATCTATTATCATCTAAATCTGAAATTAATACTCCTATCAATTATACAGAACAACAATTGAATCAAACATTTATGGATTTAATCAAGACAAAATATCAAATGAAAAGTTATTTAGCATGTCTACTTCTACTAAACCGTCTAAGTGATTTGAAAGTGAACACAGATGAAGGTGATTGGTCTCAATTTCCTTTAAATTGTAAAGTTTATTTAACATCACGTCATGCAAATCATGAGTCAGGAAATCAATCACCTTTGGAATTGATTGTCGATATCACAGCCCCGGTAAATCGATCTTTGTTGATTATAAATTTGAAGTAGGTATTCATTCATTTGAGAAAAAAACTATACTTTCCACTATACTATAATATAGTTTTCCGTATTCTGTTAGATTGAATGAAAGGCCAGTATTCGTTGAATTACTGTTAATAACAGACAGACAGGCAGATAAATCACAGAATTTCGTACGTAGATACATCAGTTCAGGTTGCCATACCGCATTAGCACAAAGATGCAACTGTCAGTTCAAATCACATAGTGGTAGCTGTAGTAGAAGTATTAGCAGTAATGGAGAAGACTAGGGTATAATTCAGTGAGATAAAGTTAGGGAGAGAAAGATAGAGATGATGAGGAATTCATAAAGTTAGAGTTTGAGAGAACACAAAGAGTGGATGCACCTGCGCCATTGCAAACGATTTTGAGCCATGTAATTCAGGGTCTCTAACCATCGATTACTATCATCTCGCGGACCAGATAGCCTACATCTACCAGCATGACTCAGTCCACTTGTCAGTGACTTCATGGATTTCTTCCATGTTTTGGTTTGGCCGCCCCTAACTTTCTTCCAGCCTATTCCTACACCACAAAACATAGCTCGTCGAGGCCCAACCGTATCTGCTACCTTGACGTGGTGGTCGGGCTTGCCTATCGTGATGACCCAGCCGAGCTATATCGGCTCGAACATATGTTCCTGAAGGTTCTACCATGCCAGGCAGGTCGACTGGAGAACGACGAGACTAAAAGCAGCTACTCAAGGTCTGAGGACGAAGTCGTACTGCTGACTGCAGAGGGGTGTGACAGCAGTGAGGTGTTTCCCTCGGATAACCAGCATCTGCAGGAAGGAAGACGTCACACCACATCTTACCTCACGGATTTCCGTCTTCAGCGGTAAGGGTTGCCCACTGAGGGCTTATAATAGCGGAGCTGATACTCAAATAACCTTTCATAAAAAGGCCGTGCGTAACCGGCCTGAATCAGTTGCTCCTTGCACTCTGCTACCACGCTCGCAGGTCGTTAAGACCGACATTAATCTACCTTCCTTTTCAGATTCTTCAAAAAACACATTTTCATGGTGTGGGCAGCCTGAAAGTGACAATTGCCCTCATACCCGTAACTGTTAGTAATACATTTGATCCACTCAACTCATCCTGTTATTAAACTTCTCAACTTCTTTGGAAATGATGCTTTACATCTGTAATGTGTTTTACTACTTTCTCTAGTATCTTTTGTATACCGCATTTAACTGAACTCTTTGTTTATAAGGACAAGAATTTAGAGCGAACAATCGAATGAGCACTGAATAGAAACTTCTCACAAACATCTAGAAAGTGAAAGGTCACACGTTACATTTTTGATTGGATAGTTACGTATACTGTTACCATATTTAGTATGTTCTAGAAGTCTAGGGTCACATACATCTTTATGAATACTCTCGGTTCCTCATGCATTGACTAACCTTGAAGTAAAGCTCTTGCATTTCGCTGCTTTTCTTTATTCTTCAAGTTGTAAACATAATCTGGAGTTAAAAGACGTAACTAAGAAAGAAGTGCTAAGCATTGCAGTAAAAGATTTATCGGTAATAAAAGCAACAGAGTTTGTACATCAGCTTTACATATGAATATTCTCACATCCTATCGATTTAGCCATCAGAGATAATTAATTGAAAAAGTGCAAATCCGCGTGTTGCAATTTAAGTGTAATCAGAGCGTACAACAGTCACTGACAAATAAACTACTTTTTGTCGTATGGCTATAAACTTTGAATAACTTTTGACAGGAGAAGAACAAGTTTTAGTGGCTCCGTTCGATTCGAAGTAGGGCTCACCAATTTAGTGACCCGCAATCTGAATCCAATTCAAGCAGACGATTGAGTATACAATGAAATTAATCTTCCCTTCCATTTCCATATATCATACTAATGCTTGAAATGTGAATAATGTTCCACAGTTTCTCTATAACTATTCAGGAATGTGTATAGTTCTGGAATATTTAGAATAACAGTATGATAAAGTTGTTGTTTTTTTTGGAAAGTATAAACTAATAACAAACGAAGATGAGTGAGTTATTAGCTTATACAAGAATGTGTTGACACAATTGATTGAAAAACAAGTAGCAGAAGTGATCAAAGTTGTTTCAATTGTCAAATAGTTTGCATGGATGCTTAGTTAAGATAGAATTGGATAGTTTTTTTTTTTCGACTGAATCTAATGTTTCTTTTTCAAAAAAAAAAAAGTTTATTTATCTTATTTTTTGTATTCTCTAAGCTGAAATGTGTACATCCTCATTCACTTTTGTATAAAGTTCTTGTTTTTATTGATGATATATTTTCTTTTTTTTCATTGAAAAGAATACACCAATTGATCATAATCTCAATGAAAATTTCAATGAATTATTATTATCTCATTCTAATCTAACTAAAATTAATTTAAATCATTTAACACAAATAATCTTATTCCAATTGTACACAAATAATAATAATAATAATACTACAAACAATTGGATTATATCTGATTATCTTGTAAAATATTTATATATTATTATTAAAATGGAAATTGTTCAAATAGCTGATTGTGAATCACCATCATTGTCATCGAATATTATCAGTGAAGAAGACAATAACACAGGCGATAATTATCATCAACATTCACTTGTGTATACATATAGAGAATTATGGTTCTCATCATTGACAACTATTAATCATAATGATCATTCAAAGTAAGTGAATTGTATATATATATATATATATATATATATATATATATATATATATTTTAATAGAATATATTGTTTAATGGACATTTTTGATTGATATTCAATTCATCATAGTTTGTACATTGATTAGCATCAGTTCAATTGAATTAGAGTATGCCCAATGCCGATATAGGTTGAGGCATAGTGATTGGCGTATGTTTTAGCTAATCATTGCTAGCGGATAGCTGGAGAAGGTTCAAGAATAATTTTGTCTAAAAAATTATAAATGCGTCAACATTCTTCTCATTATGATTCATTCACAATTCCCCGTTTGGTTTGTTCTACTTGTTCAAGTTATATTCTGATTTTGGGATACTAATTGAGTATCGTACAGTGTTGAAGAATACTAACTAAACAATAATGTATAAGCTGTGTCATTCATATAAACAAGATTATTAACAAAATCATCAAATAATTATTACTTGATAACACATTGGTTTGAAAAAAACAACACATATCAAACTATTTTTTTAAGTGGTTATATGAAGATTGTTTAAAGTGAATGATTGATTATTGAATTGAAATAATTCTAGGTAGAAATCACTGTTCTAGTTCTATGCAGTTTTCTATGTTTGTGTAACATTAAAAATCAATTCATAATTTATATAAATTATATGTTTAAAAAAAGAAACCAGTATCATGGTTTATTTTTATATTATTAGTTAATTTCTTTTCACTTTGTACTCATATTGTATATAATTGTTAACATGTGATTTTATATGTGTTTTGATTCAATTTTTGATCAATTCTCCTCATAATATAACAATAAAAAGCGTTTATAATTATAGTATGAATAAAGAGTATTGCTTAAAAAGTATTTCAACAGGAAAAACAGACATGACTTCAATATTGAAGTTCTACTATTGAATATGATAAATCTCTGTGACCATTCAATAGCATTATACGTTAATGATGAACATTTTGGTATTTGTAAACAGAAGAATAGAGAAAAAAATGTCTATTCAAAGTGAACAATCAGACTTAAAGACTGTAACTTATGTCGACTTACGTCAGTTTAGATAACCAGATAGTATTGATAACCCTCACAATTATATAGTATACTTCAAATTTAAGTATACAAATGTGCATTTGATGCTCATTGTATTTCTTCACTATGTTTGCCTAAAAAAAGTGTGATATATTTGTAAAAAAAAATTGGAACTAACAAGTCACTGTTGAATAAATATGTTCATTTCTAATTAAATAAGGTGACTATTCTCTCTTATCTCTGCGATTTGATAACCTTCATATGTCTGATTTTGTTTTGTTCTGACTTCAAACAATATCACACTTAAAAATAGCATATATATTCATTTACTGAATACACAGTTTCGTATTGGGTTTTGAGTCGCACACTATGTAGATGGGTTGACATTCGACTCTGTGAACGCATTAGTTGAAAGTTAAATACTTTAACCAATAAGCCACCTTCTAATATCTAAAGATCGATAGTGATTTAAGATATATTGCACATTTCTCAACATCCCCAGTTGATACAACTTCACTAACTTACCGTGTGGTTTTCTGTGATATGTAACGACTATTACTTCAATTTCTGTTGATCTATGGTTCTAAATATATGTTATTATATTCAACCTAAGTAATCAGCAACACTGAAGAACAGCGAAATAGGTGGGTAGAGCACTCTCAGGAACTATTGAATCGACCAGCTCCACTGAACACACCCAACATCGAAGCAGCATCCACGGACCTCCCAATTAATATTGGCGCACCTACAATTGAGGAGATCAGTATGGCCATCAGACAAATCAAGAGCGGCAAAGCAGCAGGACCAGACAAAATTCCAGCAGAGGCAGTGAAAGCAGATGTAGAGGCAACTGCGAAAATATTTCACATCCTCTTCAAGAAGATTTGGGATGAGGAACAAGTACCATCAGATTGGAAAGAAGGATACCTGATCAAAATACCAAAGAAAGGCGACCTGAGCAAGTGTGAGAACTACAGAGGCATCACTCTTCTTTCAATACCAGGCAAAGTCTTCAACAGGGTATTGTTAAAGAGAATGAAGGACTTCGTAGACGCCCAACTTCGAGATCAACAGGCCGGATTTCGTAAGGATCGATCGTGTACTGACCAAATTGCTACATTACGGATCATTGTGGAACAATCAATTGAATGGAACTCACCACTCTACATCAACTTCATCGACTATGAGAAAGCATTTGATAGCGTGGATAGGAAAACACTGTGGAGGCTTCTTCGACACTACGGTGTGCCCGAGAAAATAGTCAACATCATACGGAATTCTTATGATGGATTCAACTGCAAAATCGTACACGAAGGACAGCTAACAGACTCTTTCGAGGTGAAGACCGGTGTCAGGCAAGGTTGCTTACTCTTACCTTTTCTCTTTCTCCTGGTCACCGACTGAACTATGAAAACGTCAACATCTGGAGGGAAGCACGGTATCAACTGGACAGTTAGGACGCAGCTGGACGATCTGGACTTCGCAGATGACCTGGCTCTTCTATCGCACACTCAACAACAAATGCAAGAGAAGATGACCAGTGTAGCAGCAGCCTCTGCAGCAGTAGGTCTCAACATACATAAAGGAAAAAGCAAAATTCTCCGATGCAACACAACATGCACCAACCAAAATCTCTCTTGATGGAGATGCCTTGGAGGACGTTAACACCTTTACAAATCTGGGCAGCATCATCGATAGTCAAGGTGGATCCGATGCAGATGTGAGGGCACGGATTGGCAAAGCAAGGGTTTCATTTCTACAGTTGAAAAATATCTGGAACTCCAAACAAATATCAATCAACACCAAAATCAGGATTTTCAATACAAATGTCAAGACAGTTCTACTGTATGGAGCGGAAACATGGAGAACTACGATAGGCATCATCCAGAAGATACAAGTGTTTATTAACAGCTGTTTACGCAAAATACTTCGTATTCGTTGGCCAGACACGGTCAGCAACAACGAACTGTGGGAGAGAACAAACCAGATTCCAGTGGATGAGGAAATCAGGAAGAAGCAATGGAAGTGGATAGGACACACACTACGAAAAGCACCTAATTGCGTCACAAGACAAGCCCTCACATGGAACCCTCAAGGCAAAAGGAAAAGAGGAAGGTCAAGGAAAGATATGAGAGGAATGAACAAACATTGGACAGAACTGGAGAGGGAAGCCCAGGACAGAGTTGGTTGGAGAAAACTGGTGGGCGGCCTATGCTCCATTGGGGGTAACAGGCATAAGTAAGTAAGTAATATTCAACCTAACGTCCACATATATCTGTTTTTACTAATAAACAAGGTGTAGACTCGTTTATTGACTTTAAACAATACTTTTAAGAGCTTCTTAAACTAACTAGTTGTTCTAAGAGAATCACATAGAGCAGGATTCGAACCTGCTACTTAGATGCTGAGAGCCAAACACCTTAAAACCACTATTAGCGCCAGTGGTTACTCGTCAGCAATCGTAAGAGAACTAACACCCCCTATGTTATTCAAACCTACGTCACCCAATTCCAAGTTCTAAGACGTTACCATAATTCATCTCTTGTAAGAAGACTAAAATGTATTTACGATTGATTTATCTTTGAGCATTGACCAGTGTGATCCATATTTAATCCTTAAAGTTGATCAATTTCTACCGATCATTAGGGTCTAGATATACATAACTTTGGTTACTACTTAGTAATTACTCAATATATATATGTATATTCAAATATCACTGTAAAAATTTCATTCCGATTATCTGTGAATAATGCTTTTATTTCTCTGAACTCTAAAGGTTACGACGCTGTATCATCCCATCATCTCATTGGTCACAGATATTTCATATGCTTGAATTGAATAATTCTTCACATTCACAACACGGTCGATTTCTTACTTCTGCTACTAAAACACTTCGAGTAAATGTTCAATTAGAATTTCAACCACCAATGTTACCACAACACTTATTTTGTTCTCATCAATTCAATGAACAATTATTTGAAAATGTTAAAAAAATTGATCATTCACCAATTTTAGTAACAATCGGTGATTGTCACCTTGATTGTATACATTTCCTATATGGAATGAAAAATAATTCGTTATTGAAAAGTTTTGAAAATGATAATTCTATGAATTTAGTTCATACCATGCATATTAATATTAGTGATTTAGTATTCCAATCAATTATATCAGGTAAAAAACTGATTTTATTTTTGACATAATTTGAAGAATAAACGAAAATTAGGAGTCAAAAGGAAACTATTTTCTGCAGTTTACGCTACAGACTAACTATCACTCTAGATATGGTCATTATAAACCAAGAAACACTGAGCAGCTGTTTCATCTTGGTGTTTTGCAACTCCTCAGAAGTACTTCGACGCATTAATTCGAAAACTAGGCGCTATTCACAGATTCTGAAGGTCCTGAGCTCACTCCTGGTGAAGATCGTAGATGCACACTACTTAGGTATTCTATGCTAGAACTGATTAACTCTCCCACTTCTCTTACTTTACCAGTGATTGTTTCAGTAGAGTCAATTCGTTACGCAAACTGGAAAATCCCATTGTTATGCTTGACAATTGATATGCTCGAGCTATTACGAGTTCACCTTATTTGGTAAACGAGAGCTAATACAAGTGATCCATTGACATGATAGACTACTCTAATCCGAGCATCTCAAGCCCCCACTAACGGTACCAAGTCTTGAAATGGGGTAGAAAGTGCATTCTACAAGCACCCAGAAAATATTAGGTTTTGTACAGAAGGAGAAGAGAAGCATAAAACTTTACAGCTAATGCATATTTATACAATTAGGTCGACCGTGAATACGAACCAATAGGAAACAACATTTAAGTGGATGTGAACTTGATAGTTTAGGACGACCTTAAATATTAACCAATAGGATTAGACTTACAAAATAATTTCTTTAGGATATTTCATGAATATCCTAACACCCATCATCTCGTTAAACTCCATATATTAATGAGAAAACTATTGTTCTAACTCAAAACCTCTTATCTTTATGTTTAGTTTACACATTATTTTTTGAAAATTCTAGCCTACATTACCTTAATATCTCAATATGTTTGATTTGCATCACTCACTTAATATCCAAATATTATCATTTTTTCGACTGTTCGGGAATGACATTTACATGAAATACTTATCAGCTACAATTGTTTGTAATCAATAAGTAGCGAGTGTTTAAAATCTAGATTTTTCTAGAGTTAGACGAATTCAATCGGTCAAGTTGAAATGTGGCTAGACTGTAAAGTTGATTGATGCCAGTTCCATTCCCAGTGTAAGTACCAGCTCTTTCAAAATTACTAGTCAACATGTATCCATCAATATAGTTAGGGTTTCCTGCTGATTAATTTTCAAAGTACACTTATAGGCTTTTATCATTTGTTTTCATCTCTAAATAATCAAACAGTAACCTATTTACCGTGAACCTAGAATTTCATCCATATTCTACATCCTGGATAGATTTCCTTTTCTTTTCTCTCTCTCTCTCTCTCTCTCTCTCCTTCTCTTAATAGATATTTTTAAAAATTCTTTATCATGTTCAAGTAGCCACCATGAAAATGTTCTCAAATTAATGAAAAGTAATCATAATAATCATAATGGCCAATTGTTTTATAGTTGTTTAACGCATCAGTCTGTCAAATTTCAGTGGTCTATCAATGTTGATCCATTTAATATTGAACAGGAGAAAGAGAAAAATAAGGAGGCAATCAATCAAGACAACAACAGTTACAATTCTAATAATTATACATGGTGTTTCACTATATCTTCTATTTGTTTAAAAACATTATGGTCTTTGTATAAAGCTATTGAACTGCGTCAAAAAGCATCATTACCGAAAGTAAGTTTATCTATCATCTTATAATACCTGGTAGTTACTGGTTGTTGTTTCTGTTTGCTTGTTTGTTTTTATCTATTTTGTAGATTTTATTGCTCGAATTAATTATATATTTTGTTCCATAATGATTTCTTATGGAGTGGTCGTTAGGAAACTGCCTCTATATGCCTTCGTTCGGTTGATAATGGAGAGATAGTCCTCTCTTCCTCTTGAAATGTTCTCACATGCCCACATGTATAATAGCCATTACCAGGAAAGTCCTTCTAACTGCCTTCTCTTGATGAAGATGTCGTTTATGAGATTAAGATGTCAAAAAGCGAATATGTGACTCTTAAACGAGGTTGACGAGTTTGGTGGGTCCATCTAGGGGAGTTGCAAAACCCTGAATCGGATACAGTGTTGTACAAAACCTCTAGGATTCTGACAAAACAAATCGAGTATGAACCTAATGTTGGTCACCGACTATCTATGGGACCCTATGGATTAGGCTTCCAATTCGAAAACTCAAGAAATGGCGCCCTAAGAAAACCACCGGCTTCGGTTTGGGCACTCGAGCGAAATCTGAGCCTAAACACAAATTTGTTGGTCTTTGTGCCGCATAAATTTTTAGTTGTCCCTTAATACCAATAATTAAGTGTTTAAAAAAACTAAGAAACTCTACTTGACCCAGGTTTATGCTAGTTGACACTGTCAGTAGAGAATACCATTATGCTTATGAGAAACTGATACTTTCTATGGGATTTGAGCTGACCTTCACGGTTTGAGCGTTTCCAACGATTTTTAACTATTTCAACAGAGTACACACGATATCGAATCACTTGGACTGGTAGTCAGTCACACTATAACTTGTATTCTAGATTTCAGTAATCACAACTAAGGGATGAATAAACATGATCAATCACTCACTATTCAATCATCAATCATTGTTAACTGTTCTGTAGTTTTTGACTGTTTTTCTCTTCAAGTCTGAGATCTATTAATCAATGAATGATTTAAGAAAGTTTTCAATTATCGTTATAGTTTTCTTAAAACTTTATTATCATTATTTTTCTTTCACCTAGAATAATTCAATAGCAACTTTTAAACGTCCTACTGTTGAACAACTTAGACTAGAATGTTTCATCTTAAAGGTAACTATTGTTTGTTTATCCAGTGTTTCGATGAAAATATTTATCGTTTTGTTGTTGTTTAGGGAATATTTATTAATTATTCTAGCAAGTAGCATGTATTCCACATGATGATACTACTCTTACTATTTCAAACGAATAGTAGTCTATGTGTTTATACATCATGCATTCAATGTTCATTAATACAATGAAATTTCATTCTCCAACTTATCTGTAAATAATTAACATTAGTCTTGCTTCTTCAGTAATATTTCTGCTTGCCATCATCAGTCAGTTAGTCAGTTGCAACATAGAACTTCGTACGTATGTACATAAGTTCATGTTGCCATACCACATCAGCACAGAGGCACAAATGCCAAATCAAATCTCATAGTGATAAAGATAGTAGAAGTATTAATGGTAATGAAGAAGACTAGGGTTCGAAGATATTCAAGAAGTATAATTCAGTGAGATAAGGTTCAGGAAGACAAAGGTAGAGGTGCTGACGAATCCAGAAGATTAGGATTTGGGAGAGCACAACGAATGGATGCACTTGCGCCATTGCAAACGATATTGAGCCATGTCGTTCAAGGTCTCTAACCATTGGTCACTTTTGTCTCGCGGACCCCGACCAGGTAGCCTACATCTACCCACACGACTCAGTCCACTTGTCAGTGACTTCATGGATTTGTGCCATGTTTTGGTCTGGCCGCCCCTAGCTTTCTTCCAACCTACTCTTACACCACAAAACATAGCTCATCGAGGCAGTCGGTGGTTAGGCATCATTGAATATTAAGAACCACTGAGTGATAGTAATTTCATAGAAATTGTGTAATTATTGCACATAGTTAAACAAACATGATTAAGTGAATTAAAACAAATGGAAATAGAACAAGAAAAAATTATTATTATAAATGAATATTTGATGAAATTTTCCATTCAAATGATTTAACAAATCACTTTTATCTAATATAATGTTGGATTAATTACATGTAATTGATTTTTGCCAAGTTTAAGCAATAACATCAAGACACTATATAGTCTGTCCAAAAGTACACAACAATGGTTTGTTTCTACTGTCAGTTTTATATATAAATAATTACTTATTAACTAGATACTTTATTGATAAATCACAATTATTTGTCTCCATAAAGACTATTGATACTAATGAACAAAAGTAGATAGAATGATTTTTCAAAGTTTTGATACAGTTCAAACAACTTATGTTTGTTTCCAAAGTTTCTATACTATATTGTCACAATAAAATGTAATTAACCATACATCGTAGCATAGGAGTTACAATACTAGTATACTATCTTTGGTTGCTAAAAAAAACAACAGCGTGTAAGTAATGTGACTTGTAAAAGAAAAAAAAATGAGATAAGATTGTAAAATTAATAATTATCTAAACCAAAGACCGATTTATAGTTTTCTAATATGTATTATAAGTTGTTGCATGAACATCCGCCATAATGTATGCATGCATATGGGCAATGGTATATTTTCATTTGACTGTCTTCATGGGCATCTTTCATTGACAATTGAATTGAGTCATTTAGATTAAGTGAGTGAATACTGATTGGTTGAGGTCTGTATGATTTTCGTAACCAATGCTTAGAGATTTTTGATAGAATGCCTCGGAATCGTCTGCAATAGCATAAATGCATCCACTTTTTTTTCCTTTCTTAGATTCCCATAATCTTTTTTACTTCATTTAATTTTCTTGAATCATATCTTCACCGCCTAAAATTGTCTATTACCACTGGTACTTTAACTATCTCTCTTACTCGGAATTTTGCCCCGTTGATTTCACCTCCCTGTTATGATAGAGTGTAGCAACTTGAACCTATGCGTACACACGTACAAAGTTCTTTCTACATTACATTTCACTGACTAACTGATATCAAAATGAGCACAATGAATATCAAGAAATATAAATTATTACATTTAAACAAACTTCCAAAGAATAAACTAGAACTAGAAGTAACTGTTTCAAATAATAATAAGATGCGATTAAAATAATAAAATAAATGTTTGTGTCAATCCTTGGAAATGTTATACAACAACGAAAAACAACGTGCCAGACACTCAAAAGTTATTGGAGTCAACACTGGTTAACAAAGAAAAAAAAAAAAAAAAAAAAAAAATAAAAAAAAGAAATAAGTGAGACACACAACGTGAATCATCTCCTAAAGGCTAGCAGAAAAAAAAAAAAAAAAAAAGGCAAAGTTTGAATAATTGATTAGGCGATGAGCATTGCTCAGCCATTCGTGCTCATACAAACACGACAATTATGAAAGCCAATGGTACATATACGAATGACTCAGTAAAACAAGTTAACCTGAAATGCTTCGAAATCTCTTAACTACAATTTCATTATTTTTGTGTGAATCTCACAAGACGAGGTAGGAATCGATTCGAATTTCGACCAAAACAACTATTTATCCATAGAATGGTTCTTTTATGAATGAATTGACATAAATAATGTGGAAATCTCAACTTGTGTGGTGTATATGTTGATTATTGTGTCTGAATATCATCTGTGAAGAGGAGAGCTTCCTATAATATTAGGATGAAGCATTACTATAAAGCGCGATAGAACCTCCACATATATTTGATCTTGTTCATATCTAGTAATTTGATTATCTCAATTCCTTTCGTAGACATACATTCAACTGGCATCCACTCAAGTCGGTTTTGTGTAACAGTGTATGTGTGTTTAGAATGAAGTTGTTTGATAAGTCGCTAATAGTGGTGTGGAATATTTGTGATGGGAAAACCAGTGTATGAGTGGTGTCGAATTGATGTTTACTTGTCTTGCACTGTAATTTCAATCAATTTCGTATGTAAATAAAGTATCTGTGATCGATTGATCGGATCCATGGTTGCTAACCCACTCTTCACTTCTCTAACTGAAACCAATCAGGCTGAAATGATCAATATGGTCTGTAGAAGCAATCAGCCTGATATTAATCTGTGTTCGTGAAATTGATTACTACAAGTATTGCTAATACCTTGTATCGTAACACAATCTTACTTCTGATTTGAAATTGTGAGAGTACATACTTACTAACGCCTGTTTCTACCCTGTTTTTAATCGGGTAAAAATATAAAGAATAGGTTTTTAGTATACAGCCAATTCGAAATAATGGTCTTTTTCATTTCAAAAACTATTGTAATTTAAGCGTACACTTGGTATTCCTGTTTTCTAATCTAATGAGTTAGTTTGGACAAGATTGCATGAATATTTATGCGCTTGTTAGTTCTGTTTATGATTCAACTGATTCGTCGAGTTCATCTGAATCAAGGATAAATCGAGTAATCGAGTAAAAGTGTTTTAGGTGGATATGGCACACATTGCAGAGATCAGTCAACCGTGTTACGAGGAACACACCCTATCCTGCAATCCTCAACGTCAAACGAGATACTGTCGATCAAGGAACACACTGAGCCGACACTTGGAGCTAGATGTCAAAGTAAGGAATAGCGATTCAGTAGTAATGGAAATAAGATGTGAGGACATGGTTGGTTGAAGAGTCCTGGTTGACGGCCTCTGCTATTCGGGGAGTAACAGGCGTTGGTGAGTATGTACTACTGTAACTTCAAATCAGAAATAAGATTATGTAATGTTACTGATGCTACTGATAAATTATCTAATGACTGCAGACTAGTCTTCTGATTGCGCATAGATATGCCTTAGTAGTATTCGTGAGGCGGATGACCAATGATTGTGGCGAAGTAGAGGATTGGATTGGCATCCTCACCTACATTCAGCCGTCAGATGTCACTTTCTTCGCATATTCAGCTGCATAGCAGCTACAAAAATTCCACACTAATTCCCTCATTTTGTGATGTGTAGATGGATCTAGTGATTGTGGTTTGGGTGAAAATCTACTACGTTAACATGAACAATCAATTTACAAATAAACAATGAACATGGATATCTATATTGTCTTCCAACTCAACTAATAAATTGCAACCAAAATCATCACAGCATT